TCAGTTTTTGTTTATGATTGATCCACGATTTATTGGAGCAAAATTACAAGAAAGTCACAAATGCAAAATATTCAAACATATACATAAATACTTCTATTAACTGTTATTACTGGTTTACATATGACTGCAATATTATAAGATTGGAGTCATTTAATCGAACATGGTGAACATTATCATAAAAATTTAAAGAATTATCAAGATTTTAAATATCAGTTACAGAAACCATCGGAAGATATTGATTCTCGTAACAAAATAAGAAATTATCCATTTGAATCGTTTAATCCAAAATATATTGAATGTTCAACATCCGTTTAAACAACAAAAAATCTTTAGATGCTCCTGTTTTATCCTTTAGTTATGCAACGAAATGTTGTTGTTGTTGTGGTGGTGGTGGTTTTAGTTTCTAAAGCAAAAGTTTTCGGATTTCAAATAAGACTTTTTAGTACAATTCTGTGTGCTTGTGCAGGAGAAAGTTGAAATCCACTTCTTACAAGTTCTCAAGTGCATTAACAGATAAATTCACAGTGTTTTCGCTTAGATCGTTTTCATTTCTGACTATCTCTAATTTCTAAAAGTCTGCTGGATGTTGGAGAGCGGTGACTGGTCTTAATTTGAGGCTCATACTCATATGAACCACACACAAGTGCCATTTTCCATTTTTCATAAATGATGGATTTTCTGCAACACTGTAATCATTTTGGAATTGTAATGGATGCCCTTATTTCGTCTCGTTGTTGTTGCCAATACTAGCAAACAGAGATAAATGTAGCCCTCCTGAAATGTCACGTTGAGATTTCGGGAGACGTTTAAGGCAAAAAATTGCAAACATTCGCGTCTATTTCTTATAAAAAATCTGTAATAAAGTTTCGTTGTCTCACGTAACATCATTTTTATGCGTTTTTTTTGCAGAAACAAAAATTTTGCGAAGTAACGTAAGAATATGTCATCGTTTTTCATGTATAAAATATTATTGTGTCTAATTATATATTTTCGGTTTGTTTTGATATATGTATACGTATACATGCAATGTATTTTGGTAGATAAATTTATTGAAATTGTCTTTACGATTTACGATTAAATGCAGAAATAGGAAAAAGTATAATAATGTTCTTCTTATTTGTATATG